ACATACTCTTCTCCTGCCTTTGGATTAGAACTTGGACTGGGACTTACACTGTTGGCTCTCCTGAGTCTCCAGCTTGCTGACTGAAGATCTTGGGACGTCTCAGCCTCCCTAACCACATAAACTAATTCCCTATATTAAATCTCTTTAAATCGCTCTCTCCATATCTATATCTATATCTATCTATATCTATATCTATATCTATATCATCTATCTAATCTTCTGTTGGTCATGCTTCTCTGGAAACGGGAATAAAAGACAAAATGATGGACAGCTGAATAGTTCTGCCAAAGTTTGCTTCTTCACCACTTAAAATACTGCAGTTCATTAGGGTTGACATCTTAAATGGAATGTCTAGCAAGTGAAAGAGTTTGTAATTTGGGAGGAAGAACATGAAAGAGCTTCTCTTTTGATAGATCAGATGATCATTCTAATGAGCAAAATGAAAAATGTATTGTTGCCTACACACACCTAAAACAAATCAAACCAAACCAAAACAAAAAAAACTTCTATCCTAACAATTTCATACTATTTTTGAGCAAATTGGATGCATGGTATGTGGAGGATGGAATATTGAGTTTCTCCTGTATGTTTATGACTCTCATTTATATGAAATAGTAATTTTAATAGATAACTGGCTCTGCAGGAAAGAGTGACTTGGGATAAACTGCCCTAAAATATTAATAATAGAAGACCTCAGAATTCTATACAAGATACCAATTAATTTAGTGTTCTAGAGGCATATTTTACAAGTACTTTTTCTCAGGGGATTAACTACTACATTAAACTGCTTAAGCTCAGAGATTTCTGTGAGTACTTTACTGAGATCTTAATGGCTTGGTGGGTGTTTGGTGACAGTAACCTTAAAAATTTTCCAGGCTAAAATTATCTCAGTATTCCATGGTGCAGAACTTTGGAGTCCTAGCTGTCCTTTGCCTGTGCATTGGAGAGACCCACAACTGCTTTTATGAGGGAGGGAAGCTCAGTCTTGTCTGCAGTGCTCTCCCCTCTCCCACTTCCATGTATATAAATGGAAGGCCTTTTTATTGAAAATTGTTCCTAGTTAGGGTCTTCATTTTTCATTAAAATATGTCATTTCTATACCCAGTTGGGCTGATTATGAAAGCATATGAATCGGCCTTTAATTGGCAACAGAATATTTGCACACCAGGCTCATGTCAGCAAATATAGTGTTCTTGGTCAATACTAATAAAAAACTCAGTTATGAGATATAATATTTATTTATAGAGCACTGACTGAAGGTTATGCAGCACATTCATCCCTGTAGATACTCTAAAATCAATCCCGGAATTAAGGCGGAGTGTCAGAGCCTAGCACCTCAGAGAACTGCTGTAAACTGGGCCCTGGCATTCATTGTGCATTTCTAGTGGGTGCCTTAAAGGAAACACCTGGCCCTGATTTTATACAGCATGGAGGCTGATGCAGGCAGGGCACAGTTCACCATAGTCCAGACTCTCTTGCATATACAGACTCATAGGAGAAATTTTTTCTCCTAAGCAATTGCCCTGTTGAAAGCATGCAGACTCTAAATTACTTGACTCCTATTTTTTTCATTGCACAGTCTGCTAAGAAGCTCAGAGCCAAACTCACGAACCACCTAAAGCAAATTTAAAGAGCTTTATAATTATTTTGTACACGTTTCCATACAGAGCTATCTGATTTTTAAAAAGACAGATTGAGATAAACATAACATAAAATTAGCCATCTTAAAGGGAATTATTCAGTAATTGTAAATTGGTAAATTCACAAAGTTGTGCAATTACTATTTCTATCTAGCTCCAAAACTTTTTCATTACTCTAAGTCATCTGACTTATTTTTGTTCTATTTGTTTCTTCCATTTTCTTTCAAGTATTTAAAATATTTTTTTTTCGCCCTGGGTCGTGTGGCTCAGCGGATTGAGCACTGGCCTGAGAACCAAAGGGTCAACAGTTCAATTCCTGGTCAGGGCCCATGCCTGGGTTGCAGGTCAGGTCCCTGGTTGGGGGTGTGCAGAAGGCAACCTGTCGATGTATCTCTCTCACACATTGATGTTTCTGTTCCTCTGTTTCTCCCTCCCATCTTTCTGCAGTGCTCTCCCCTCTCCCACTTCCATGTATATAAATGGAAGGCCTTTTTATTGAAAATTGTTCCTAGTTAGGGTCTTCATTTTTCATTAAAATATGTCATTTCTTTACCCAGTTGGGCTGATTATGAAAGCATATGAATCGGCCTTTAATTGGCAACAGAATATTTGCACACCAGGCTCATGTCAGCAAATATAGTGCTTCTTGGTCACTATACAATCTTTACAGACTAAATAAATACAATCTTTAATTTCTTTTTCTCTTATTGATTCTAGAAAGTGGGAAAGGGGAAGGCAAAAGAGGGGGAGAGAAACATCAGTGTGAGAGAGAAACATTGATTGGTTGCCTCTTGCATGTGCCCTGACTAGAGACCAAACCTGCAACCCAGCCACGTGCCCTGACCAGGAATCAAACCGAAGACCTTTAGGTTTGCAGGATGATGCCCAGCCAACTGAGCCACACTGGCCAGGTACATTTTCTTTGAATTCTTAAAAATAAAAGATCTTATTGTATTTTATGCATGTGTTTAAATCATCAAAAATTTTTTTTGGAATGAGTAGGATTTTAATAAACAAATTATAAAAAGCCTAGTGACAAGCCCAAGGGCAGGAAATTGTGGAGGAGCAGTCAGGAAATAGGAGAGCCAAGAAGAAGTCATTTTATGAGAACCAAACAAAAGAGTTTCAAGAAGAGAGTGGTTAATAAGAGCTACACACCAGAAAGGTGAAGTAAAATAAAGATGGAAATGAGGTTGTTGAATTGATTAACTAGGCAGACATTTGTGAAAATTGTTTCCCTGTAACCTGTGATTAGAAGTGAAAATCTGTGGTGATTAGGAGGTAAGATGGTGAAGACTCAGAAGGCTAGGCTATTAAAAAAAGAAAAGAAAAAAGACAGCATAATGAAACAGAGAAAGAAGAGGCTGGGACTGAGGGCAAAGCAAGTTTGAGGAAATATATATATTTTTAATGATGGAGCTACTTAAGTGAAACATAGTGTAATCAGTGGAGGAAACTTGAATGATGGTCCTGGTTTGCAAGCAGCTATAGTGTGGTGTTGAGCAAGGTACTTCACATCTAGGCTTGGTTTTCTTATGTGTGAAACATAGTAGCTTGACTGGATTGTATCTATGGTATATTCACGAATGGAAGGAATGTATAAATAAAATTAGAACAGTAAAGCAATTTCAAAAATACAATAATACTTTCATCATAGATATACTATTATTCTTATTAATCTCCTGAAATGCTGATCTTACAGTAATGTTTTATGATATTATATCATTATGATATCCAGTCAGCATTTAATATCAACCATTTGACCAAAAGATTAGTTTTGTTTTATCTAACTAACTTTTATGATTCAAAAGTCAAAATAGTGGTTGATGTAGGTTGTGGTTGATTATAAGTGACCATAAGTTCTTTGATGCCTCTCCCAGCAAGAGGTAAGTTCTGTGTTCTCTCCTCTTGAACCAGGATGGGCTCCACAGCTGCCTTGGCATTAGAATGTGAGGAAGTGACCCTGTTTCTTGGCCCTTCCACTGTCTGTCTCTTGCAATACTGACTCTGCATCCAGCTGTGATGCAGTGAGGACGCCCTATAGGGGTCTATCTAGAGCAGAAGTGAGATTCCAGCTAACAGGTCTGGTTGAGCACTGATTTGTCAACCATGTAAGTGAACCATCTTGGAAAAAGCTCTTTAACAACAGTTGAGATACTCTGGCTTATACAACATGGGGGCAGAGAAGAGCTGTCCCCATTGACCCTCGCCCAAATTTCTGATTTATGGAAAAAAAAATCATTGCTGTTTTATGTCACTAACTTCAAAGTTGTTTTATAATAAATGTTGGTTAACATAATTCACTGGTAATCATGTAAGCCAAATATAATCATTATAGGTGGTTCTGCTATCATGCCATACACATATTTGTGAAAAATCTAGTATTCTATAAAATTGCATACTAATTGTGGACAGGTTTTATGAGGAAAATAGGATTGAGATGGGCCACTCAAAACCTGTGGAATTTTAAAAGAAGAACCCCAACTAAAACAGTAACAATCCTATTGAAAACATCAACCATAAATTGTCTATACTGGCATTTGCACTTAGAATCATGATATATCCTTATCCACCTTGTATCCTGGGGTTCATGTTTCTTTAAAGACATTTTTACTAATGGTTTTAGCAGAGAGCCATATAAAGTGGAAAGCAAAGGAGTCCCTGAAGCCACTAATTCAGCTACTTCTTGCACTAAAATGACTCTTTTTCAGAATTTTCAGTATTTTTTATAAAGTCTTCATATATTATTAAAGATTTCTCTTTAATTGTGAGATTGTTTGACCTTATTGCCTCAAAAATAAACATTGTTTGGAAATTCAAAGTAAACCAAGAGGACGTCAGTGTTCACTGATATCCTTATCAATCAATTATACATGACCTAATTAATACTACAGAGACATACGTAGCAGAACAAACAGTACCAATGAGTGGTAAGCCTGTATGTGGCAAACTGGAACCCACAACTGATTGTAAAGGCCAAATCCTCTGTTGCCCTAGTCCCTCGTTGCGGACTTGGGCCTTATGGCCTCCCTTGTCCTGATGGCTCTCAGCTTTGAAGCCCAGTAGAGACGGATGTTCTCTGTTGGCAGCAGTTGGAGCTGCTTTGGTTTGAGCTTCTTTGACCAGGTCCACCAGAAGGGGCTGTGATCCTGGGGACCAGAGCCGAGGGAAAGACAACAAGGGGGTCCTCCTTTTCAGAAGAGGGAAGTTCAATGGACTGCTTTCTGTTAGCAATGCTGTGTGAGGAAACGTCCTGGGTCAAGAAGGACTTCATCACTGGTCTTTGAGTAGTGTCATAAATTGTTTCCTCAAAGAGGATGTTGTTATCTAACATAGACTTTGTGGGAAGGAAAAACTCACCAGGTAGACTGTGTTCTTCTCTGTCCACTGTATCAAGCCTGGGTTGACCAAGAGGAAGTCCTGGACTCAAAGTAGCACCCTGAAGAATGAAAATAGACATGCTGAGAAGCGACATTTTTCAGTATATGAGGAGGGCTGTAATCTATATTTTTCTTTTCATTTAAATTCAAGCATATCATTTTAGTTGGTTTGAATCTACTATGGATTTTCATATAGGTTCTGGTAGGGACATATGTTCTGAACAGAATGTATGCATTAATACAGTGGTAAAGTACGAGCTATTGGCTTCTTGACTAATGAGTCTGTCTGTGCAGGGTTAACTCATAACTGAAACACTTTGAATTATGTCAATCATATTTGAATTTATGAATTGTTTATTTACAGAGGGAATAGAGTTTAGTTGGCACTTTCATTTATGAATACCGCAGTGACAACTTCTGGCATAAATGAAATGAACATAGCTTTAAATGAAATATAAAAACTATTACTACATTTATTATTTTTACTTTCTAAGATATTAATTTGTACTTTCGAGACCTCCATAAATGTATAGATAAGACCTCAATATTTAAGAACTTACAAATTATGTTTATGTTTATATTTATTTCTGGAAATCAAAGTTAAATAATGTGCAATATTTTCTTTTCAGTCCATGAACATGTGTTTACTTTATCAAAAACAGAGCAAATCTTTAATTGAAACAAAGACCTGACTACATTTAAGGAAGCTTTGAATTTTAGGATATTTGACATGGAAGTTATTTTATATTTTATGAATACTGATACTGAAAGTGGGTAATCAAGTATTGTTTGTAAAAAGCAGTAGTTAGTACTACAAAGGAGAGTTTGCTCTGTTCAGTCTTTAAGTTGACTTTTTGGTGGAAGTCTTTTGAGGCTTTGTTTTTATTTGAAGAACAAAAGGACAACAAGCTCACCTTTGTGATATCAGGGAAGAGAGTAGACATCATTGACTGGGTGCTGGCATCAGAGCCAGGCAATGACCCAACAATTTCTGCGGATGAAAAATCACAAGGTTTGAGTGTTTCTTTACTTTTCCCTCTTCCTTTTGTGCTTGGGGCAGTAAAACAATTAGGGCTGAAAATGTAGCAGTAAGTTCTTAAGGAGTGGTATAACAAATGATTAAGAAGTCAGAATCACATAAGCTAATGATCATTGGTCTGAATGATAAATTTAAAGACAGATGCAAGGCATCTGTCTTGCATGTTTATGTGATCAGAGCAGTAATTAAGGTGAATTTTTAGGGTGTTTAGTTTTATTATATAGATTTCGACTAAGTAGGTGGGCTGATTGGCAAGGCCAGTAAAGATGAAAACAACTAAACTGATGACAAAAGAAATGGCTAGGATAAATACTAAAACTAAGAATCACTTGCAGAGTCCTACTTTCAACCCAAAACCTGATTCTCAGAACAACCCAGAGAGTTCAAAAAAGAGACACCCAGAGTACAAGATTGTACTCTGAGATGAGTCTGAAGTTCACCTTTTCTTGCGCAGTAGATTCTCTTGCCTTGCTGCTTATAGTACCAAGAGAGCTTTGTGGAGTTTCTCAGTGTTGAGTTTGACTATCTCAACCAGAGAGACAGAACTGGCAGAGAATGCCAGTTTCATGCCATGTCATACTAAAGTGCCATTTCCGTTGTCCGTCTGTTAAGCCAGGAGTACTGGGCCTACTAAAGAGTTGAGTTCCAGGCACCCACTGAAGATTTTAAGTGTGCCTGATTAGCTTGTTGACTTCTTTAGATCCACTCTCTTCTTCTTTCCCCACTACTTTCTGCCCCAGGAAATTGACTTATATGGGTTATATCAATGATTGCTTGCCCTCTGTCTTTGGGATGGCTTGGCTCATTAGGCAACACTTCAGCCTAGAGGAGTAATTGGATCTTGCTGCTTCTAGCCCCAGGGAACTGTCCTATTTCTTTGGGCATTACGGATAACTTTATAAATAGTCTCTTTATCAAACTCTTCTTAAATTATCCTAATTTTAATGTGCCATCTTTTTCCTTTTGGGACCTGACCAATTTACTAGACAAGGATATCTGGGTTTTGCCAGGGAAATAGAACTGTCCAGGGGTTCTTCTCTCTTCCTGGGTTCTACTGGATGACTGTGGTTGAGCTGGACCTAACTGTACTTCTTGGCTCCTCTTAGAGCTATTCTTGGTGTGAAGTGGTCACAAAGACTCATCAAATGGCACGCATTTTGGATTGAGGAAAGACAGAAACGATACCGTCCATGATGTGCCTGTCACAGAAATGATAGCCTCTACAAGGCCCAATTAAAATGACAGTGAGCATGAGACATTCACAGCTTATAGTCTCTCTTTCAGAATGAAGATAAACCCAGAACTATGAAGCTACCAACTGACCATCAGTGAACTGAATTGTCCCCATATGCAAGGACTTGTCTTCCTGTAGGGCTCTGCTGATCAGCTTTTTGAGGTCTAAAGCTGTTAGGTAGGTTTCTGGTGGCTTGTCCTCCTCCATCATTCCATGAAGGGCTCTTTCACTTTCAATTTTGTTGGAATCAAAAAACAGCAGGTCACTTGCAGGACGTTTTGCTTCTGTACTGTCTCTTGTAAAAACGGCCATAAGTCGCATCTCTATGGAGCTGGAACTATAGAAGCAGAGGACACAGCACAATTAGAACCATTGTTATATGCCTTGGAAAGAGAGTTGCTATGTTGTTACAAAGCTTCAGGACAGCTTCAAACTCTTTCCTGATAGACAAAGGATGTCCCACTTCAAAATTTCAATGTTCATCAAAAATTTGAAATGTGAAAAAGAATTGACATACATTTTAGTTCTGAAATAGAATGTCGGGAGGGGAATTAAGTCTAGCTTGAAGGGAGACTACTAACTGAATCAAGTGACTATAGATTTTTGCTTTAGGTCTTTATGAAAAGTGTTAATTGTCAAGAGTTGCTGTTATTGCCCAGTGTTTCTCATGGTCTTATTATAAGAAAGCCATGCTGTGCGAATCAACAAGAAGGATGATTTGTCCTTTTTCCTACAAATAGCTTCCTTTAAAATGGTTTGTGAAATAGCAATGTAGGATAGAACAGTGGCACAATAGTAGTATGTCCATGTTGTTACCAGTTTAAAGCTTCAGTTCTTAAAGATATTTTTCTTCTACTTTTTTTCAAGAAGTATTTTTAAATTAAAAAATAAAATCTAAATTAAACATAACAATCTTTTCACCAAGCTGCTTTAAAATTAACATCTTAGAAGGTGTGAGAAAGGAGAAAGGGAAATAGCATATAATTAACTTTTAATTATATTTATTATCATACTTATTGACTCAATGACTTTTTGTTGTAAAACAAAACAGAATTTTCTGCAGCTATGTCTTCTAGGATCAGGTTTTATCTTCTAGTTTATGCCATTAAATCCACACAGAAGGATGTAAAATATTTAAAGGCCACATGAACTGATAATGTGTATCCTTGGTAGTTCTTTGGGCTGGACAATCAGAGTCTATAGTTCATTATTTCAGTTGTCAATTATAGGAGTCAAAGTTGGATTCTTATTACTGAGCTTTTTAAGGTATAGTGGGCCATTTCCCAAGTCAAATTAATCTTGAAACCAAGGAGCAAATTAGTTTCTCTGCTTTAATCCAGACAGGTTGGCTATATGTACGAGTATACATTCAGGCAGACCACTTCCTACTATTAATGGAATTTTTGTGAAAGCATTCTTGCATCACAGGTATGTGTCTTTATGTTTTTCTAATTAGATTTTGAGTTTTATAGGGACTCTTCTGTAGATCAAGTCATTGTTTATCTGCTTATCCCATGTGGTGATTTTGATTCCAGGGTTTTTCCCCCCACTACTAAATAATGGGCCAGTTACTTCCATTTAAATAACAAACTATTAAAATTCATTGTGTTATCCCAGACTTTATATGTAAAAATTATATGTAAAATATCAGCATATAAATTTATAGGGGAAAACATTAAAAGAAAAGTCCAAATTACCCATCTCTTTCTTTCTTCGGTCTTCATTTCATCATGCACAATGGCAACATGCAAGGAAGAAAATTTTTATGGGATTCATTGAGATATTAAATGTATCACTTCATATACCAAAAAATTCTTTCCATTATCTTTCATATTTGCCCAGAACTTTGATGGAAACATATAAACTATCATCAGAATTTGGATGGAAAATTTAAGAACCATATAAATCTCAGAAAGTAAACATAATTATATGATGTTTCTGATTAGGATTTCAACATTAGTTCAAAGATTATATGTACTTTTGGTCTTAAACTCTGAGTTCCTCATATTCCTCCTAAAGAGACTGCATATATATCCTATCCTATACATCTTTCATTTTGGGTTGCACTAGTGCCAGGAAGTTTTTAAAACATATTTTATAAATGAATTTCTTGCCTGTTAATAGCATTAAATGATTAAATTCTGAAGGTAATTTTTCTGAGGCTGGACCCTGGAACTGTTGTTTTGTAGACGGGTTTTTTTTTGAATTGCTGCAATCAGTAGGCCTTGAGGAAATGGTACAATTCACTACGGACAGGATGCAAGAAAACAGAAACACCTGTTAACAGAGCGGGTGGTCTGCACCAGGCAGTTCACATGCACCCACATTTAATCTCTTCAACAACACAGTCAATGCCCATTTCACAGATGAGAGAACAGGCAGAGAGAGGGAAAGTTGTCAGTTGGGACGTGGCAGAGCCAGGATTCAGACCTTGGCCTGCCTGTGCTCATTTTGCCATACCACCACCAGCTCATGCCTTAAAAAAAGGCCATGTAGTCACCAAACTGACAAATACATTTTGGATTTTTCTGGAGAAAAAAAATATATACACATTATATATATATATGAAAAATGAATTTAATTTAGAAACCATGTTCATTTTTTTCATTGTAGATGAGAGTTGCCAACAAAGACACTCTACATGTGATGGGGTTTCATGTTGCTTTCTTCTGACTTTCCTCTCTTGATGTAGCATGACTGAATGGACTCTGCTACTACTTTTTTTCTGTGAACACAAGAGAGAATCTGTGACTATGTCACTCTGAGGGGACGGACTTTCTTCCATACTAACCAGACATTGATCTGGGGCTGGCCTCTTGTTTCCTTTCGGCAATAGTTTGTAATCCATGGTATTCCTGAGAGAGGCCAGGCTTCTTGTGCCAAGACCCTAGTCCTGCTCATTTTTAAAAATTACTTTATTGAGGTCCTGGCTGGGTAGTTCAGTTGGCTGGAATGTTGTCCCATATGCCAACATTGTAGGTTTGATCCCCAGTCAGGGTATATACAAAAATCAACCAATGAATGCATAAATAAGTGGATCAACAAATCAATGTTTCTCTTTCTCTTTCTCTCTCAAATCAATAAATAAAAGTTAAATATTGTTTTATTGAAATATAATTGTAGTGAAACAAACCTCACATGTTGAAGGCATACAATTTTAAGTTTGACACTACTATACACCAGTGAGACAATTATGGCAATCAAGATAGCACATTTCATCACCCAAAGGTTTACTGGTACCCTTATGTTTTCCCTCCCTCCTGTCCTTCTCTGTTTTATGCTCCCCAAGCAACTACTGATCTGTTTTCAGTCACTGTAGATTAGTTTGCATTTTTTAGTTAATATAAGTGAAACCATAATGCACTTCCTTTTGCCTGATATCTTTCACTTAAGTATTTTGAGGCAAATCCACGTTGTGTATTTCTGTAGTTCCTTGCTGAGTAATAGTTTACGGTAAGAAATTGCAACAATTTGTTTATTTATTGCTCTGTTGATGTACATTTGGGTTGTTTCCAGTTCTTGGCTTTTAAAATTAAAGCTGTTGTGGACATTCGTGTACAAGTCTTTGAAGGAGTATACCCTCCTGCTAGACTGAATGATTGTTAATAGTTTCCCATATATACTTTGAGATATAGCAATATTTAAATTGAATCTTTTACTGATCATCCTTATAATTGTATTAATAATAGATGTCCTAACTACTTTCCAGTTGTGTTGAGAGGGTCAAATGAGGTTACTGATATAAAAGTAGTTATTAAATTGTAGATCAGGTTTTATACAAATGAGCTGAAATAAAGACTGTAGCAGGAGACACATAAGATTTTAGTTCTTTTGTGGCATCTGATTCATGGGAAAGCAATTTCCTTCATAATGAGCTTACTTTACAATATTCTGAGTATTGTTAATGATTAAAAGTTTGTGATGCATCATATTATTTATTGTATTTGGGTCACTTTTTTGGGGGAGACTAAATCATATATTACATAATAGAAATCATTGAGAAAATATAATCAAATTTACTTTATAAGCATCTTGGGCAGAAATAAGAATAAATTCTTGCAGAGATAAGTGCATGAAAAAAATGCAACTTCAAGAGATATATCTTTGGAACTTCTGGCTAATATGGAGACATAGGTAGATACATTTTGCCTCCTCACACAACCAAAAGAAGAACGACAAGAAATTTAAAAACAAAAAATGAGAACTTCCAGAAAACTGAATTGTATGGAAGTGCAACAACCAAGGAGTTAAAGAAGAAACATTCATCCAGACTGGTAGGAGGGGTGGAGACAGGCAACTGGGGCAGAGAGGATGGGCAGCAAGGAGGGCGCTGGAGGACCAGGTGGGCCAGGTGGTGGCTGGTGGACTGGGCAGTCCCACATTTGCCTGTGGATAAACCAGGAGGAACAACTAGGGAGCAAGAGAGACCATGAAATCCAGGGTTCCAGTGCAGGAAAAGAAAACCTCAAAACCCCTGGCTGTAGAAATCTGTGGGGGTTGTTACAGTGGGAGAAACTCCCAGTCTCACAGGAGAGTTTATTGGAGTTACCCACAGGGCCCTAGAACTTACACAGACCCACTCACCCAGGGATCAGCACAGGCAGGGCCCAGTTTTCTTGTGGGTAGTAGGGGAAGTGACTGAAAGCTGAGCAATAACTAAGCAAGTAGCATTGTTCCCTCTCTGAATCCTCCCTTACATATAGCACCACAACACAGCACCGTGGGTTGCCCCCGTCCCAGTGGATACCTAAGGCTCCACCCCTTACAATGTAACAGGAGCTCTGAGACAAAGAATTATGGCCCAAAAGAAAGAACAGATCAAAACCCCAGAAAAAATAGAACTAAGTGATGAAGAGATAGCCAATCTATCAGATTCAGAGTTCAAAACACTGATAATCAGGATGCTCACAAAAAAAAGTGTCACAAAATGGAGGAAAAAGTGAAGGCTATACAAAGTGAAATAAAGAAAAATATACAGGGAACTAACAGAAAAGGAAAGGAAATCAGGACTCAAATCAATGATTGGGAGCAGAAGGAAGAGATAAACATTCAACCAGAACAGAATGAAGAAACAAGAATTCAAAAAAAAAAAATGAGGAGAGACTTAGGAACCTCCGCAAAAACTTTAAATGTTCCAACATCTAAATCAAAGGGGTGTTAGAAGGAGAAGAGGAAGAGCAAGAAATTGAACACTTATTTGAAAAAATAATGGAGAACTTCCCCAATCTGGCCAAGGAAATAGACTTCCAGGAAGTCCAGGAAGCTCAGAGGGTCCCCAAGAAGTTGGACCCAAAGAAGCACACACCAAGGCACATCATAATTACATTACTTAAGATTAAAGATAAGGAGAGAATCTTAAAAGCAGCAAGAGAAAAGGGGATATTTACCTACAAAGGAGTTCCCATAAGGCCAAAGGATTTCTCAAAAGAAACCTTGCAGGCAAGAAGGGGCTGGAAAGAAGTATTCAAAGTCATGAAAGGCAAGGACCTACATCCAAGATGACTCTATCCAGCAAAGCTACCATTTAGAATGGAAGGGCAGATAAAATGCTTCCCAGATAAGGTAAAGTTAAAGAAGTTCATCTTCACCAAGCCCTTATTATATGAAATGTTAAAGGAACTTATCTAAGAAAAAGAAGAAGATCAAAACAATGAAGAGTAAAATGAAAACGAACTCACAACTATCAACAACGGAAGCTAAAAACAAAAACAAAAACAAACTAAGCAAACAACTAGAACAGGAACAAAATCACAGAAATGGAGATCACATGGAAGGTTCTCAGTAGGGATGGGGAGGGAGGAGAATGGGGGGAAAGGTACAGGGAATAAGCAGCATAAATAGTAGGTACAAAATAGACAGGGAGAGGTTAAGAATAGCATAGGACATGGAGAAGCCAAAGAAATTATATGTACAACCCATGGACATAAACTAAGGGAGGGGGAAATGTTGGTCGGGGGTTGGGGGGAGCGCAGGGTGGAAGGGAATAAAGGGGAGAAAAAAATGGGACAACTGTAAGGGATTTATCTTTGAAATTTTTACCTTAGAAAATTTAATCAACCTAACATTTTAATTTTCTTCTGAAATATATATTTTTATTTTTTAGTTCTCCATTTATTTTATTTTATTTTTTTAAATTAATTTATTTTTTAAAATACATTTGTCTCTGCCTTCCCCCCACCACTTGCCCCTGCCCCCTCCCCTCTCTCCCTCCCTGAATCCTTCCCCTTTGGTTTTGCCCATGAGTCCTTGCTATATGTTCCTTGACTTGCCCCTTCCATTTCTTTTCCCCTGCCCACCCCTCCCTCCTTCCCTCTAGTTTTCCATTTATTTAAAAGGAGGGAATAATGGGCAATTGAACATTCACCAAAAAAACCTGGTCTTACCATTTCCTTCAGCTTTATATTAAAAATTTGTTCTTAGGTGCAGTGGTTTATCTAGAAGACCTTGCCATCTATGCAGCATACTCTCCTATCATCTTGTATTTGTTTCTAACCTATCTGATTTCACATGAAACACTATGGAGCAGCATCTTGAAACAAAGAAAAATGAGCCTGTTTTGGTAAAAATGAAAGGTTTCATCTTTTATAACTTTCACTTTTCAATGTTTCCTTCTTCTGGAATTACAGAAATCACAGAGGCCTGACAGCTTCGGGAGAAACAAACTGGGGGAGCTCCCTCAGGAAGTCCCCCCGTGAGTGTGGAGCCCTGGCTCTGTGCACTTTTTTGCCTTAAGACACTAGACAGCAAAACAGCCAGGAAGGACTTGGGGAGACCCCTGCTTTACCCGCCTTACAAATCCCCTCGGGGCATGGAATTTCTTTCTGTTATACTAGGGCTGATGTTTATCCCATGGAACATTAAAAAGAAAAATATTATGATCCTGCTTGTAGATGTTTTGAATAATGAAAACTTAAAGATGCAAAAATTCTTGCCAAAAGTTATGAACCTACATTAGGGTGTTGAGATGCTGGTAGATATAGACCTGCTAAGGAAACACGATTAAACCTTGCTGTCATGTGGCACGATTTGATTATTTCATTTCCTTTATTAAAATGTTCATTTAATAGTTTTTCTGTGGTAATGTATTACTATGGCTTGGACATCAAAATGACATAAAATATTTTGGGAAGTCCTGCTTCCACCCCTGTCTCTGTCGACCCCATTCCTCCAACCCCTCTACCCCGTAGTTTCACCCGGCTCTTTAGGGTCCGCTTGATTTAATTAAACAATGAAGATATTTAGCATCGATAGGAAACCAGGCAATAGTCTTCCAAGGTAACTGATCGCTAATTTTTTTTTTATTTGTCTCTACTGAGGTATTTTTCTAAGAGGTTTGCTAATAACATTGCCAAGGACAGCGATGAGCTGAGAGAGCTGTGTTTCTGACCCAGGAGGGAGGAAGGGATACAGCCCCTGTGGTGTCCTTAAAAATCACGTCAAGTCATGTTTTAAGTAAACAATTCCTTAATCTGAAATGTATTCAGCTTTTGGGATTTGGCAGAGCTAATAATTGGGGGAAAATGGACTTTGTAATCCTCATGATATCACTTTTAAAAGAGGATAGATAGTAATTTAAATATGGAGAAGAGCCTGATTCTCTTACTTACCCAAATCCTAACACATGAATTTCTTTGAACCCTGGAAGTTTTGTAAATACCTTTTGCATCTGTAGAGAGAAAAAAAATGATGAAATACTCTTGGTTCTACTGGGTAAGATCATATCTAACTGTAAGAGCCTAACTACTCTTGATGAGTTAAGGAAAAAAAAAAAAAAAAAGGAAAATAGATGCAGTGATTGAGGACAGATTTATTCTTTGTTATTTCTGAAACCCAGAGGAAAGTGTTTCACTAGTTATTTGAAAGTTCTAAGTCTAATTGGGTAGTTCTGATTTTCTTTAACGGTTATTTTACATAAAATATGAAATAACTTTAAGATGGTACTTGAAACAAATTTTTTGGTTACAGTATTTTTTATTTACACACATAGAGTAGCCATAATATTTTCTGAATTGAATTACATGATTTGGAAATACCTATTGTGTTAAAGCAATTATTAAAGTAAAAATAGCTGCTATGCCTAAATAAAATGCTAGAAGCAGATTCTAATGTAATAGATTATACTGGCTCTTAGATTTATGTGAACTTCACAATAAATTTTCTTACTTAATTTTACCTTGCTAATAAGGTATTTTATCAGAAAATTCCGCAACTGTTATACTCAATTACTTCCCAACCCACTACAGTCTGGCTTCTGCCCTGGACTCTCCAAGGATGAAGGCTTCCCTACAGGCCATTGTCTCCTTGGCTCTCTTCAAATCCAAAGGCATTTTTATTTCTTTCTCCACACTTTCCCTGCCTTTTTTTCTGGCCCTTCTTCCATTCCTCTGACCACCCTCTCAGTCTTTATCCTAGTTCTGTCTTCACTGCAAGCATCCGGCAAGTTTGTGTCCTCAGCCCCTTCACGTCATTCACTCTCCCATTTTTTCAGTAAGTTTGACTCTAGGCCCTGTGCTGGGCACTCGGGACACGCTGCTGTAGAGATGGACAAGCACTGCCCTGTCCAACTCACTCATAAGAAGAGTGGGAGGCAAGGAAAACCAAGAGGAAGAGACAGTAATTTAGCAGTGAAACATGGGAGGGAGAGCAGATTGAAGGGGAGGGAGGCTGAAGGGGTGAACAGGGACTCGGCCCTGGGCCTGTCCCGCCTTCCCTGTGCCCACTTCCCTCTGCCCCTCGACGGGGATCTTGGTTTCTCCAGTGGCTTCAATGGTCACCCAAGACACAGCTTTGAGTTCTGCACATGAATATCCCAACATTTGGCATTAAACATGGCAAACCAGAGTTATTCTCTTCCTCCCCAATCTGCCTTTCCTCCTGAGCTTTCTGTCTCAGTCAGGGTTATGAACACCTGTCACCTCCCATGCCAGAGAGCCCAGCATCCCTAGACTCCTTCCCTCTGTGCCCCTCACATCCGGTCACCAAGTCCTGTTCATTTGATTCCTACATGCCTTTTGTTTCCATCATATTCTCTGGCCAGTACACCCTCCCTATCTCCCGTCCTGTATTACTGAAATTGTTTTCTGGGTATGTTGGGGGAAGGGGAGAGAAATGCTTTTTCTGGATGAGTTGGGGTGGGGGGAATTGGGGAGGTGTGTCCTTGACTGCAATATTTTTCAAAGTTAATCATTAAACATCTATTATTCTTCACTAAAAATCCCTTGATGGGCTGCACTGCCTGTTGAAGGAGGTCCAATACTTTAGAATGGCATTTAAGACCCTCCACAATCTACCCCCTTTACTTCCCAAGTGTTTCACCATTTGTACTTCCTGCCATTTACCCCCTTGGCCAATATTGTATCTTCAAATCATAGTAAACTAACCAAAGTCTCTTTCCAAATACAACATGTCCTTCTTTCAGAGGTCTATAAATTTTTTTCTCTTTAGTCCAAGATGCAGCTTCTACCTTCTGCTCATTGGCTATCCTCCACCTCCGCTGCCCATCTTTCAAAGCCAGCTCAAACGTCTTCTTTATTGAAAAGCATTTGTAGGGCCCTAAAGTCAGGTTCAATTATTTCTTCTCTTTACTGGTCTAGAACTTATTACTAGACCATAAAACAGCCTGCGAGATGATGTTGTCTCCCTCACAGAGATTATGCCGCTTGGGCTCAGGGATTATGTCTTATTCATCTTTACCTCCCTCCTTCCCAGCAACTAGCAGATTGTCGTTTACATAGTAGGGACTCAGTCCATTTTGTTTAATCGAGTTGGGTGCACCTCTTGTTCTCTGAACTCATCAACATGCCACTGCATTGTCAGCGTATCTAAAAGTATTGCCCACCTATATTACTATGCCAAGGACTGGAGCAGTGGGGCCTAGAAAATCCCCAAATCACTCACATTGGGACTCAGAGTGTATCATGGATTTCTTTTCTCAGCAGACTGATTTACTTTCTAAATTATATTTTCTTGCATCAATTTTAAAATAGGTCTTGTTCCCTGAGTATATAGCAACTACAGTGATGATGATAATTCAGCTTTTGGGTGATAAGGAGATAGATGTATAAACTTGATTTTAAATATTGTCTCTGCTACTTTCTAGCTGTATGACCTTGAGTTTATGACTTAATTTCTTTGAATAATCTTGGTATCCTTAACCAAAATGAGATAATAACACCTATATTGTAAGGCTGCTATAAGGAATAACTAATAAGTACCTGACACACAGCAGGCAGAGAATTAGCGATATTGTTTTATTTATTTATGATTCTCCATCTCTCCAGTTGGATTACTAGCTCCTTGAGTGCTCCATTTTTTTTTCTTTTACTTCCTCAATGGCTACACAGCATGGAGCCTGGCCAGGGCAGAGGAAGCTTCCAGGCAGTTAATTTTGAGAGATTCAATGTGGGGAAGGACTGGATGAGGGTCTCTTAGGGTCAGCGGCAGGGGGTCTGGGGAGTAAGTTTCTGTGTCTCCACTCCCACCCCACTGTGAGCTACTAAGAGATAAGGTTCTGCAGGGCTGGGAGCAGGTGGGAGAGAGCTAGGTCCCTGTTTCAGGTCTGCTCTGACCTTCTTTGACTAATAGCTTTGGGGTCACAAGGCATTTGTCATGCCATTCCAGTTACAGCACCTAGGCCTTAATGATTAAGAATGAGCAGACAATTCAGACCCGGACTTGTCTCTATTTCTTGTCCAGCACACCAGAGGTGCTGTTATGTATGTGAAAGCAATCAATCAAGTACAGAACTGCTACCACAGAAGCCTCAGCTATTGGCATAGGTGGCAGGGTGCGTCGCTGGGGGGAGCTGTCCTCCAGGAATGCTCACGGCAGTGGCTCCAGTAGAGGGGATTTACTGTTGTGTCTTTGCCCTCTTTGTGAACCTGTCTGTGATGGATTTAAGAATCAGCTTTGCTTAGGAGGATGCGGAAGCATCTAGGGAGGAGATGACAAAGGCCTTCAGTTAATGCTGCTAAATAATCTTCTGGGAACCTTCCAATCATGCAGCACTAACCACTAAATTGCTAATTAAGTGTCCAGTTAACCTTATTAATAACACTAAATGCACAGGAGCCTCCCCGATTTTGCTGAAATGCATGTTAACGGGGCTATAAAGAGGCAGCTGTGTTGAGTTCTCATGAATGTTTGCAAAGGAGAAAGCATTCAGACAGCAACTAAGCATTCCTGTTGACATCTGTATTAAATTGCTCATTAAGTTTATTGTGGAAATTAAATTACTGCAAAGCACCGCACATTAATTCCCGATTAGGTCCAAATGACTGTGCTAATGCAAGTGTTGGGCTGTGGTGGGGCTGACTAGTTATCTGATGGCAGGCTTTGAGGCCTCCAGATTACACAGGATCCTGGGGGGAGGAGAACAGGTGTCCTAGGCAGAAGGGCTTCATCTTAGGGAAGTCAGCAACCATGCCAATGGATACCAGCAGGACTGAGATGATAGGTCTCTGGAACAAGACCAAGAAAAACATACTCTTCTTTGACTAATAAATATCTCAGAGGCTAGAAGGGGCATGTTTATTTGATAATGATAAATACTTGGGAAAAATAGGCATTATAGCATAGTGGCTAAGAGCAGGGGTTCTGGTGCCAGGCTGGCCGGGTTTGCATTTTGGCTCTGCCAGTTAATAGGTGTGACATTGTTGGGCATATTAATTCGTCACCTTGTACCTCAGTATCCTCACTTGTAAGAAATAGAAATAATATTACTTAACTTACAAGATTGTGTGAAAATGAAATCAGTTAATACACATAAAGCATTTAGGACTGTACAATGGTATTATTTCTATACATAGTGTTTTAGACTTGGAAAAGGACTTTGAGGTCATTTTTAATTTCTAAATGAGAAATATAAGGTCAGGGAAGTGATCTCTAAATCCTTATGGCTGTTTCTTGGCAGAAACAAGACTACAACTAAGATTCTTAAAAAATATATAATTTAATTGCATTATGCTACATCAGGTTCTTTTAGGTGCTTAGGAAATTAAGAACAGGTGAGTGAAGACAGTCTATTGCCAATTATCCAGTTTTGATGATACTCTATGTAGGGATTTGCTGAAGAGAATATTTCAAAAAACAAATAGCAAAGATAACAGATTATTTTTAAAATTCATTCTATCTAATAATCCATATCTAAGTATTTTCTGGTACATAAATACCCCATGTCGATGCTTTCTCTTTGAAGTTTGTAGAAATGATATTCTACATTTTATTGACCGAGTGCTGATGCAGGGAGAGGTTGGAGGTTAAAAATGTTTTTCTCTTACCTCTTCTCCAGTTGAGAGGAGGTAAGCACTGAATTCTTCAAGTATGAGAAGTAGGGGCCTGTTTGTTTCCTGACCTTGCTGAATAAGATGCTTGGGATGTCTGTAAATGTAGTTCATAGTTATGTAACCTCATGGGGGCTTCTATTTTAAGTTGCATTTCTGCAAACAAGTACTGCATAGTAACTGCATCCCAAACTCTGTATTAGGAGGTGAGGCTACCGAGATGAAAGAAACAGCGCCTGCCTTCCAGGGGAGGCTCATAGCCTGTGGGTGGTGGGTGGGCAAGGAGGAAGGAATGGAGACAACAAAGGCCATAGACATGTAAACAATCGTGAGCGGAGTAATATTGTTGTGACCACAGTGGGCACTGGGTGTTAGCCCAGAGGAGAGGCACTGAGTCCAGAATGGGTAGACAGAATTTTCCATGACCTTTGTTAAATGAAGGTTCAGGGAAGGGCATTCCAGATGGAGGAGGCGTCACATGTAAATCATGATGAGAAAAGATCTGCAAGCAGCTTTTATTGTTGGAAAGTAGAGTGCAAAGGAGGGAGAGGATAAGGAACTGGGTTAAGATGAGGCTGGAAAGAAAGGCAGGGGTCTTCTCATGGCACATGGATGCCATGTTCAGCATAGTAGTTTGGATTTATCCTGTAGGGAATGGAGAACCTTTTACTATAATCAGGGACCAGTAGATAGGATGATGGTCAGGGATGAAAGACACATCTTGGGCCAGCTCTGCAGTTTAGTGAGGGATGGCATGGACAACATAACTGCCTTAAAAATGTCATGGCTTTAAATTGCATCAGGCTGCAAAGATGGAAATATTATGTAAGACAATGTATTATAGATTAAAAATTCATATTTCACTCCAGCATGTTCCCTAGCTGGTGTCTACACAGAAACTTTAGACATATTGAATATCTGCTTAGTGACTCTAAGAAAATCTAAATGTAAATGACTTTTAAGATGAAAAAGCTGGAATGGAAAACTTTCCTGAAGATCCACTTTTTCTAACATTTTGGAACATACTGCAGATTTTGATTTTTTTTTTAATGGTTAAAAATGAATGTCTGGTCACAAGAAATTGGAACTATTATCCAGAAGGGTTTATTTCTTGTTGGCTCCCAGATTGTGAATCTATTGTGGGCTGCGGTTGTATGGGGTGTGTTCGCTTACCTGAAGTTGAGCCTTTGATGCTAGCTCCTGGTAATATGGGGACCGGGAGTCAGAGAGCTCTGCCTTGAACTTCTGGTTTGCCAGAGAGATGTTCAGCTCCACCTTCTGCTCCAGGGGGCCCTCGGCTATCGTAGAGAATTCTATTTCTGTTTTCTAAGTTAAAAAGGTCTTTTATTAATATGAACCACAAGCAAGTGGTTTTATTTTATAACATATATTGATTTTTGTCTCAAGAACTAGATTATGAAGGTTTAGTATTTTTAGAATAAAAGTCCTATTAACTAGAAGTAACCTTTCACTGAGAGTCAAAGTACCAAAACTCCAGTGAGTTAATTACTTAGAATCTGTAATACACTATCATTTTATGACTGTGTGCTCTTCATGAAAACATTCACACACACATACTCACACACATATTTTATATATATTGCTGGGACATTACTAGAATTGCGCCACATACCTGTGCAACTTTAGGAAAGCTCTTTGATGAGGATTGGATTAGAAAAAATAACCTATGGATGTGGAGCTATTATTTAATATAATCCTCTTTAGAGAAGACTGGTTTAATAAGACCATTTGGGCTTAATTTCACATTGAAACTAGTTAGAAAGCACTGCGAAGTCAAGAAAGGGTTTGAAATCTCTCTCAGGTGGAATGGCATATTTGGGCCACTTTTGGAAGAGTGTGGCTAAGAATAGCAGTACTGTTCTGAGGACCAGGATTTGGCCTTTGATTGCAAAGAGCCAGGGGTCATTCCTTTCGTTCTTTGGTTTGAGAATAAGCAGGAGCCGCTACTGTTCTCAATTCATCTGGGCTCCAAGGACACAGAGCCAACCTGGAGCGGCATTTCAAATTTGGGGTTTGGCAAACTTGCAGCCTTGGGTACCCAGATGGTCCCGATAGCTTCATAGCTTTCTCAAAAAAGTAAAAAAATCTCTGTGGAAAATCAACTGCCTCTGGTAATGTACATAGTCTCTTATAGTGAAATTAGAGTTGTGGAAGCTGAGAGATAAGACTAACCAATGGAAAATGCCATGAGAGGCAACGCTCATCTGGGTGGTAGCTGATGTAGTTTCTTCTCATTTCCTATCACAAACTCCCTTCTTCTATGGGCAGTGAACAGCAGAACAACCTCTGACTTTAACAGAACACATGGAGGATATGGTTTTATACTTACCAGGCTACTGAAGTTTGTTTAATGGAGAGGTTTTCATTCATTCGTTCATTCACTTGCTCATTTATTCATTCAAATAACACACACTGAGCATCCGTGTGGGTACAGCACAGTGCTAGGACTGATGGGACATTGAAAGTCGATGGGACAATGATGGGACATGCAATTATCCACTAGAAGCTTACCGCTTCACTAGGCAGCCCTGAAGTTCCCAAGAGACGTTTCAATTCTTTCGCTATATTAGTGAGAAATTTCATAACTTAACCTTTACCACTGGATTAATTTTTCATGCCTCTCACCCAGCACCCTCGCTGACTCCGTAATTACCAAAGGGATAAAACCCAAACTCTTTCTCCTGACATTCAAGGCTCTCCACCGTTATGTCAACCGCTTGAACAGCTCTCATCTGTCTCCCTTCCTCCTGCCCCGGCCAGCAGAAAGCTCCCTTCCCAGTTCCGAGGCATTCCCTTGCTTGTGCGAGTCTCCTGGCCGAAGCCGCTCTGTGCTGCTCCCCAAGCCCGCCTCCCGCAACTGCATACACATGCCTTTTTTTTTTTTTTTTTTTTTTTTTTTTACTTCATACACATGTCCTCTTTTACTTCCTACCAATATTTCATGGTTCATTAAAAGTAGTATCTCCTCTGACCGTCTAGGGTAAACATCTTTGCCTTTCCTCTGACCTCCGGTAGCAGTGAATAACATCTGAATTGCTTATTTGGTACCTAGGATATATTCACCTAGAGTCTTTTTAAAAATATGCTAATCTTGTTATACTACACATAATGTCCTTGAATTCAGCATGATTCTCATACTTCATAAACTCTCCAAAATTTAAAAAACAAACAAAAAAAATGAGTCAATTAATGTATAAAACCCTCAGTGAATATACATGACTCAGGATCACATCCTTTGCAACCTAACCGGCCTATTATTTGTCCTAGACCACTGGACATCTGCCATCATGACTCACAGCACTTAGACTGTTTTGTTGTACTTATTTGCATTATAAATTTGTTAAGACTAGGAACTGTGTCTTGCTCTTTCAGGATCTTCTAGCAAATTTTAGTTAAATGTTTGCTGAATGAAAGAATAAGTAATAGATGCATTTGGTAAAAAGGATCTTAAGAGGAGGATGCCATGAGTGTGAAATAAAATATTCAGGCGATATTTATTGCAGAATGAAGGACTTATATTAAGTATTGAAAAGATGGGACATAGGTAATGTGAGAAAAGCCAAGGCAAACTGTAGCCTGACTTAGAAATTTTATAGTAAATATGTTTAATCTCAATAATTTTTTCAATAGCAATTTTCACTGTTGACAGAATATTATTTTTGAGAAAAATAAAACGTTTTTATTCTTTGTTCATGAGCACAGTCCCACCGGTTCTGTGGCCATCTGGCCTAAAGACCAGGCAGAGAGTGACCAGCCGGGTTCTCACCCCTGAATTTTCATGTGGAGCTGGTGAGACTGAACTTCCTGCCCGCACCATCTGTGTTTTGACCTATGTCTTAGAGGGCGGTTCACAGGCAGAGGAGAGGGCTAGAGAAGCCTCACAGACCACAGGGGATGGTAGATCAGGTTGCTGTGGCAGCGTAGTAGTGAGCGGATCCAGGTCCTGGCTTGTCACGCATATACTACTACTGTCCCTTTAGAGTCTGCTGCCTACCTTGTGCTGCCATGATGCCGCTCATGGGTAAGGAGGCTGTTTCCTACTTCAACCCTGATGGTCTGGCTCAAAGCTTTTTGGAGGAGAAAAATGTCCCCCCTTTTTCGGTAACCAATGTTAACTTCTATAACAATTCCTTCATTCTGCATGCCTTTCCATTCAGAGCAGTTGCCAGTGCTCCTCTTCATCTGTGAACACTGTTTTTATTTTTCCTCACTTGATATGCAGTATTAAATCATTTTGATGTTTATCTGACCTATTCATACTGAACATGACTGAGAACACAACTTCTACCCTAGTTGTCAGCATGAGATTAGACTTCAGTGGAGGAAGAACCTGATTGATTGATTGATTCATTCATTCATTCTAAACTTTGGTGAGCACCTGCTGTATATAATGTTCTGTTAAGTACGGGGGAAGAAGAGGCCCTGCATTCTTGGAGTTTATAGTTTAATTGCTTCTTCCTTCCATCTTGTCTCTAGTTTTCGATCTGTTTTTACTCCCTGGGAAGAAGTGAAAATACTAAAAAAATAAAGTCACTGACTCTTTACTGGAATGATAAAAATGCAGCACTAATAATACTGAATGGCCAATTCATCTATTCTTTTATTTTATTTCACTAATAAAAAGAAAAAGGCATGTGGGAAGCTGGATTGACTCTCAGAACGTCTTACTATTGTAGGCATCTCGGTGTCGCTGAGGAGTGTGTCATCAGGAGTAAAAGGGAAGGGCCCAAGCGAGACCTTGGCAACATCTGTGGAGATTTGAAAAATAACAAGCACAAAAATGAGATTAGAGAAGTTTACAGTAGAACAAGTTAAAAATTTTATATGCTTTTTCTGTTGTTCTGGAATCCATTTAAATTTTAAGATTGCATAAATATGTTCTTGAGCAAAATATAACTAATACCATTGTTCCCAGTTCGATTCATTATTCTTCCTTTCTAGGGTGAAGTTTGGTGCTCTCTTAGATATGTTACAATTACATGCTATTGTTGCCTAATGAGACCTGGTTAATTTTTCTCTTGGTGACTATATAAAGGATACATAGACAGATGTTTATCTTGAATTTGTTTGTTAGAAAATATTGGTAATGATTTCCTCCAAGTTGTAGGATAATGGGCAATTTGGTCACTTTTATTCTTTTGTAGATTTTTCAAGTTTTATATAATAACTTTAAATTATTTTATAAAGTTAGAGATATAAGTTAGTTTTGAGAAAGTACATTATAAATTTTTCAATTTCAATTAAGGATTGCCTTTTAAATAACATACTTTCCTAGTGATTTGAATTATGGTTCAGAAGCAGCTGAAATGTGATCTAAGCTTACCTGTTGAAAACACAGGGATTTCACCAAGCTCTCCTAATATCTCCTCTGTGGATATCTCATCTTTTCTATTAGCAAAATAGAAAAGAAAGAAGCAGCGGTGAAAGAGAGCTTGATGACAATAGGGGAATGCATTTCAATTAGCCTATATTAAATAGAACTAAAAATTAGAGAAAAAGTATACTTTAAAACTGGTTTACCTATTTTTTCCATTATAGAAGAAATCTTCTAATACATTTTCATTGAAGAAAAATTCACCCCACTCCCCAAGACAGTTATGTTTGACTCCAGGGCTTTTCATAAGCTTCTTGGCTTCTTATGTGGTCCTGGGGGAACATTTCCCTAGTAGCAAAGGTGATTTTGGGGATTGATATTTTATAGTCCCTTGTGCTTAAACTGTGCCCTTGACATCAAAGATAATTGATAACCTGATGATCTATGACTGAATATTCTTGCTAAAATCTCAGACCCTCAAGCCTGTAAATTCAGAGAGTCATTAAGTTTATCTAATAAAGCAACTCCTGTGGTTACAGTAATGGGAGAGAGAGAGATTTCTGGATAATACAGGTATATTAAATCTCTATTCTGGACATAGCCATTGCATGCAATGGTAACCAGCCAAGAAGTTGTGGGTAGGTTCACAGTGTCAAGGAGTGACCTATTCCAAGGTCATGGTTATGGAGTTGTTTGCATATAATGTTGGCCTATTCTAGCAAGCTTTATTTAGAAAGAAATAGCAGTAGTGATATTTTTTGAACCTCACTATAAGATTTGTTACCATAAACTATTAGGTCTCAAAGGATTGTGTCTGTGTTTGCATAAAATAGTCATGGTTGACCAATATATTTGATCCAATTTTCTGTGGCTCATGATGATGGAAGACCAAAGGAATTGTTAGGTGCTCTGTTGTAGATTCATACAGATTGGCCATAGCCAACTGGACATATTTTTACCACATTCTGTCAAAGTGCTAATAGGGGTAATGTACAAAATATATCAATCAGCCCAGCATGGGCTCTAATCAATCAGAATGGATGTTAGTTGTAAACTTAAATGACTATATTGGTGCATGCAGGCTAAATTGAACTCAAGCTTTATAGTGGAATTTGGAATTAGCTATTCTTGTTTGTTTTTGCTGGCATTATGCTATGTGTTTAATAGTTTTTATGGAGGTAATATTTAGCAAACCTCTCATTATAGCAACAATATAGCATTTGTAATTTAGACAATTTTTTTCTTTTATAGATCTTTGTTTATAGTGAGGTCTCTTTCTCCCTGTTATAACTTTGGTATCCTTGTTTTACCTTGTTGTAAAAAATAAACTACCAAAAAGAGTAGTTATTAAAATTCTGGCTATTGCATTAGTTACAAGTCAACAGTCTACTTTGTGAAGGTGCTGTTTGGCCACTATGTTCACAATCTAGGCCATCACTAAGGAGCTACAGTTTGGGAAGCTGGGCTGCTGGCGTCTTCCCAGCTGACTTTTATTTTAAGGTCATTTGAAATGGGCAGATTGATGATCTAGTTAAGTGAGAAAACTTCCTGTTTTTTCTTCTTGGTTGGAAGTACAAGAGTTTCTTCCTTTCCTCTTTCTTTCTTTAAAAAAAAAAACAAACCCAATAACTTGGTAACCATAGATAATGTAAAATGTTTGTCTCTTGTTCCTTTTTTCTCCCTAGTGATGCTGGCAGGCATAGAAGATGGAATGATTCTATTTCTTTTCTTTTTTTTCTAGCTTGAATAATTGTTTCCTGTAATTTTTAATATTTTTATATCAAGACTTGGTAATTCTGTTGAATTTTTTTCTTATGAATGGCCTCTGCTTTCTTTTTCATTTTCTTTCTGGAAAATGTAGGAGTCAGTAAGTGTTATCCTATACTTAAGTCAGAGGGGTCAATAACTCTGTGTCTTGTGAACAATGTTAATACTCTGTCTACCCCTAATATTTTCCTAAGTTACCTTATTTCTTCTGGCAATAACTTTTAAAAATTCATGAAAGTATAGCTAGATAGACATATTGAGGACTATTATATATTATAAATAAATGAGGACTTTGCTCATTCTGCAGCAGTTCATAGAGAAATATAAAACAGTTCCTGCCCTGAAGGTGTTTACTCCCACAGGGAAACAGGGTAAAGAAAGGAGGTGTTAAAAATGTAAATGACAAACAGAACACAAAATCCAAAGCAGGAAGAGATACTGCAGACTCAGATAGGTGGTTAAGACATATTGGGGAGGCGGGACTCTATTTGGAGCTAGAAAGGAGAGTAGGATTTGGAGAGATGGAGTGGAGAAGGCAGGTTCTTGCAGGCGAGATAAAAAGACTTGGGATCAGAGTCTGGGAGGAGTAGGGTGTGGTCTGTGCCCTGAAGGAGTGGTAGGGTAGCAGCAGTGAGATCATGGGTAATGAATGACAAAGTTGGAAAGTTCAGGGGCTGAGGACCTTGATTAATTAGTTTGGGCTCTGCCTCGGTGAAGGTCCTGGCAGCAAACTGTTGGCTCACTCAAACTTTGGGCCAAGTTTACTAAAAGGATTACTTGCAAAATTGTGGGAAGAGTCTAAGAGCAGCCACAAGTGAGCATGCAGACCCCAGGGCCGTTAACAGTGCCGCTAAGAGCACTCCTCCGGCAGGAAGGGTGAGGGCTGAGCAGTTACCATAAACTAGAGACGGAGAAGGTCCTGTGGAGGGGGGCTGCTTGACAGGAACTGAGCTGAAATTGAAGGACCCCAGCAGCCCTTGAAGACTTCAAAGACTTGACAAGTTGGGGGCGAGGGAAGTTGATAAATTTGCTTACCTCATTCCATTCTCCCCCTTCCTTTTGATATTCTGCTCCCCATTGGCTGGCCCTAGCTGAAAGTCAGAGGGCACAGAATGCCAGGGCTTCCATCCCCACCCAGGCTGCTGCACATAGTGCATGAGGAAGTGTGGGGAGCAGATATTCAGAAGGGCAAGAGGAAGATGTGCGCATCTTTTGAAAGGCATTGAATAGCGTTCAGTATAAGAAAAGGAATTTTCCAGATATATTAGTTCTGTAGCAATTATAAAAGTTAAGGTGGGAAAGAGGTTAGAGCCAGTGCTATCTATTAGGGAGATCAGATTTGACATTTTTTTCACAGTGTAAATTAGTAAGGTTCTGGACCAGATTGTTGGCAAAGGGAAATAAAGGAGCAAATGTGAAAAGCATTAAAAAGAATTACAAGTTATTCATATGGCCAAATTTGTGTCTCTCCTTATATTATTATCATCTTCAGATTTTGACTTCTAAATGTTATAAAATGTATGTAATTTGTGAGGTTAGAATTTGGCAGTGACATCTCCTTTAATCATTTTATCTAATGTACTCATTTTCTTTCTTTTTTTTTAACATTTTGATTTTCTTGTTTGATATTCAGTTCTTGTTGAGTATATAGCTCAGTGCTTCAATAACCTAGTATGAGAAATACTAACATTTTTATGGAATACCAAACAAGAATTCAGGTTTCTTGTTTGTTGTAGTAAATATTTTCCTGATGTAACTAATAATTTATCATACATTCTAAAAATCGAACTATTTTAATTGCTCTTTATCTTATAAATGAAAATACACATTAGATACTTATCACATACTTTGATAGCATAGTAAAAATATATATCAAAATCTATAAGGTCTGACCATTTCCCTTTTATATATTCCTTTATGTTTAGCACAATATTAGTATAAATTTTGTGTCAGAATAACCTACACAGATCTCAGTGGCTGAGATAATATCATAAAGGTACAATAGCTGAGTCTCACTCCATTATGTTAACTTTCAAAAGTCAAGAGCATGCAGCACTCTATTTTGGGTACTTACCTCTTAGGGAAGTTACTCTGTTTTATTCTCTGCAGAAATAGAAAAGTAATTTTGCCATGAGATAATGTCAACTGAAGAGCTAAAGTCTATTTTCATTCCCTTTTCCCTTGAACTTCACCTCAACCCTTATGTACAATGTTATTTTGCAAGTATAAAATTCCTGTTGTCCTTATCAGATATTTCCAAGCATTTCTTCAGCCAACCCTGATGCTGTGGAAACCAAGGCCAAAAGGGGCAGGGGCAGGAGGTCGGGGAGCTATTTGGGCCGTGTGCCAAACATACAGTGTTTAGGCTCACCTGCTGAAGAAGATCCAGGTGCTCCTGGGAGTTGCTGAAATTTTTCCCAATGTCAAAGAGGCAGAAAGTCTCCTGCTGGCAGATGCTGACCCAGTCCTGGTACTCCCCTGTGTCAGGGATGCGATCCAGAAAGATCCGATACGCTTCCCACACTGCTTCCTGACACACTGCAATGCAGCGCCATTAGAATAGGAGATCCCCATCTCCCAACACAAGCACAGCTTATGATGTGGAGAGCTCTCTCATGGCTCCTGCCACTGACACACTAACTTATGGCCTATAGAAGTTAATTCCTTTGAAAACTGTTTATTGAGCACCTATATGTGCTATGGAGAAAAATAAAAGAAGGAAGATAAGGAATATGAGAGAGAGAGAGAGAGAGAGAGAGAGAGAGAGAGAGAAAGAGATAAAGACTGCAATTTAAAATAGGGTGGTTGAAGAAAGCTTCCTTATAAAGTGGAAGTTTGGGAAAAGCCCCCAAAGTTAGAGAACGCTACAAGCATTGAAGGAGGAGCAAGGAGGTCAGTGTGGTCAGAGTAACAGAGAGTGAGAGTAACAGAGGATGAAGATGGAAAGATGTGGAGAGAGGAACACAGAGATTGTAGGGCCTTGTAGTCTTCAAACTGGGCATAGGTACTAGCTGTATCTAAACACTTTCCAAGGGATAAACACGCACAGAAACAGTTTAAATAGAATCAGCTTCTAGAGTCCAGCTTTACTATTATGCTTTTCTAACATTGGTCTGCTTAAGGGCACGCGTCTTCTTCTTCACTTTTCCTGTGGCCATCCTTCTTCCCCTGTTCACTTCTCCCTAACCCCGCAGTGGCTCAGTTCCCCTAGGTTGCCGTGCCAAGGGATGGTTTGAAACAAGAGCCTTGAGGTTAAGAGAGCAACTGAATTTAGGGTGGATTTTTGTAATTAGGGTGCTTTCTGCTTCTTTGCTTTTAAAACATTAGGAGTCCTAATGGAGTAGACAGCTGATAGATCATTAAAAATAATGATGACAGCTCATGATATGATTGTTAGCATATAACGCAAAGGGAACTTAAAGAATACGGATATTACTACAACAAAATTCCCTCTGTTCCCATCTACTTATTCATGTAACAAGTTTTCTCAGCATGTAAGTGAAACTAGGTAAAAGAGTAAGTATAAAATTGATGCTAAATCCTGTCTTAATATAGCAATAAATAATATGAATAGGAAGTAATGGTACATGAACAAAGCAGCCCCATCTGTCCAGAGGCAGAAGCTGATGCAGCTTAAGCTTGAGACCTTCATTTAAACTGGCCTCTTCCAAAGCCTTGTTCCTAATTTTGTGTTTATAATCATTAGTACCCACAAAACCTGTATTTGGTCTTATATCTATCTGTTGATAATGACTTAAATTATTTGTCAAGTTTATATCTACTTGTTTTAATCAATTATATATTACAATTAATTATAAATGCAACTGAATCTGGAAGAAATGTCTTTGAACACATAAAGTAACAGGAAAGAAATAAAAAAATACAATTTCAACTTATATACATATTTTTGTTACTGAGACTATTTTAGAGCAACCAATAACACGCTTGCAAGTTTAAAATAAATTCCATTAAGGTAAGACTCGGAAGTGAGAAGTAGAATGGAAATGTGAATGTATGGAGAAAAAGGAACCATGTGCTGTTTCCTACTGTTGAGTTCCTTCATGTATTTGTTTCGACTATTGGATGGAAAGGATTGAGTGGCTGCGGTAGAGTCCGCTGGAAACATGTGACTGCTCTAATTCTTGTTTCATTTTCAATATCAAGATTTACAGCTCACCAAAAGTTAATATCTTATCAAAGTATTTAAATTTAACATAAAACTTTATATGTCAACCGAAAAGTATGCAAAGGTGTGCAGGGTTTAAAAATTATTTTAGGAAACTAAATGAAAAAAAAAGTGAGGTGAAATGCATCTAAAAGTTAGATGATGGTGATGCTGCTGTTCTGTGGACAACATTTGGAGGAGCAAGAATTAGGACTCCCTCCATCTTTAACTTTTTCTAAGCCATGTGTTAATGTGAAGGAGATATCTAGCTTTTGTTATTGGGATTGGGAGAAAGAAAGAGAGAGAGAGAAGGAGACATGTAGAGGAAAGGAGGAAGGGAGACAGAGGCAGAGACAGGGGGGCGAATGGTTTGAAGGGAGGCAGTCCCAAAAGAGGATGTTTACCTGGGCAGGAGCACAGGGTCCCCCCAGGACACCAGCAGATTTCTGCCTCTATGTTCTGCATCTATGCTGTGGGATGAGCATGTGTATGATCCTACCATGAAGCTCAGACCATTTTCACTTGTGTTGCTTTAAGCATTGGGAAAAGAAATAATTAATTCGATTTGAGGAATGCAGGAGCTTTCTCCCCTAGGTTTGAAGGATGTCAACAGATAATTTTGTAAAATAAGCTATGGTTACTCTGTCAAAGAAACACTGCTTTATAACTGGGTCTTATTTCTAGTTTCCTTATGAACTGAATTTGTTAGACTTAAGAAACCCATGTTGATGAATAGTGAAATTTCATATCACCCAGGGGCAGCCATAAAGATAATGGACTGTCATTGCTGCGGGGAGAACAACAGTTGTTTGATTCATCCAGGGAAGCAAGAATGAAAGTGGCAAACCTAATAAAAAATAAAGAGCTAATAATAAAATTCAGAGCTAAAAATTTGGTTGCAGCAATAGTCTTTTCTCCAAATACTTGTAATGAATCCTGTTTGTGAATGCCATAAAGGATGATAAGGTACATGAGAATAGTTAGCAATAGTGTGTTCATATTCGACGGGATGAAAATACGACATGTTTTTACTTCCATCCATGAACAAATAAAATGGAATTTACACATGTCATTACTGGATCAACATGTGGGCACATTCAAAATAAATAATTTACACTTCACTTTCTTTTCTTTGCAGTCCCAAAGGCCCATTTGCTTTCTGTGTTCATCAAAAAGCATTTAATGAGAACTAGTTATGCACAGGTGCTGTGCTAGGATCTCAGAATTTAATTTGGTGCACTTGATTTTCTATTATTAGAGTCTTTTTTCTGATTAATGTCCAGTACTAGTCATTTCTCTGTGGGTGTGGCTTCTATCAGAAAGCCAGTATCTCTTTACTTCTACATAAAATCTACAAAACAATGAGACGTATGAAGAACATAAGGCTTGATATTTTTGATACTGTTAGTTAATTATGGCTCCAAAGCCCAGTAAAACTCCTCAGATTAGCTCAACCCTTGCACATGTTCCAGATGTAAATACTCAAGAACTCTTTGGGATGTTAGTATCATGAAATGCTTTTCAGTCACCATAATGTGCAACAAACACCCCATCAGCTAGAATTGGACCAGTTTTCTCTAGACAATGGGCTTGAAATAGATCAGCAAGACTGATTTTTGGGGTGAAAGCAGACATCTAGTATGATCAAGGTAGAAATCAGTAAACCTCCTCAACTTTCACATGTAAGATGAATTGAGTTTAGGCCTCGGCTTGATAAGACACTCTGCATTATTTGGAGCGATCTGGGGAATTAAATAGCAGCAACTAAAGATTTTTTTTTTTTCCTTAAAAGATTAAGCCATGAAAATTCTTTCATCTGTGGTAAGTGAATGACAAGGGCAGCCACTGGTGGCTGCGGTATAATTGAAATCCAAAATGACCCCCAGGGATGCTGTAAGAATTCTGTGATGCTGTTCTGGGGCTAAAAGCTGCACTCTACCTCCACTGGAAATCACAGTAATTGTACTGTAAATCCCATTCACACCCTGTATTGTATCTTGGTAACCCTGTTAATTTGTGATTTTTCTGCACTTGGATGTGTCTCCAGGTTTCCAAGCTTCAGAAGTTTTGCCAAGTCAGCAATAAACAACTTCAGCTTATCAAGGAGGGAGAGAGTATCTGGATTGTGATGGTGCTTTTGAAAAATAAAATCTTAAGTCATAAATCACCTTGTTTAGATTCCTGATGTTGCAGTCATCCTGTGCTTCATAATAACAACATTAAAATTCAATATTGGACTTTGGCAAAAATAAAGGACATAAAACTCTGATGACAAGACTTCCCTGGTGACTTGTCAAATGCTCAAAAGGTTCTGTATTGCACAAGATATTATTATAAAATGTAAGAGACAATACCTGTCATTGTTTTGAATGTTTATTTTTCATTAATCTCAGATTAGTTGGCTGATTTTTATAACTCTTGTCACTAAATGAGAGACTGGAAGTTTTGGGCTGAGTATGACCTATAGATGAATAAAAGGGAAAGCATGAAAAGAATGAAAGGCCAAACCAGTTTTATCTCTTTCCTTACCTCTCAATCTATAATAAGCTTGAAGACTGGCTAAAATCTGTTTTGCGGATTCCTGTGGACAGACCTTAACCCCAGCTGGGAAAAACGCTGATCTTTTTGTTCGATGTTTTGTCCCGTCGAATATTTGTCTCATGATTGACACTTTGTACATTTTTGCAGTATTTTCAGCTGGTTCAATTCTTGGGGTGTTGTCTATGTCTTTAGTTTCAGAATGACCCATTTTAATGGAGAGATCTGTAAAAGAAAGATTGATTTCCTAGTGAACATACATACTTATGTGATATATACGAAACATGATAAATGAATGGAATAAACTAAAAATTATAATCCTCTAGTTTATAAAAGTTCCACTTTTGTGCAACTGCCCGATGTAATATTCCAATGACAAGGCATTTTCAGAAATAAGTGAATATTATCAGCTGATCAAATATTAAAAAAACACTCCAGCATCTCAAATCATCCTACCTTTAGGAACTGCCAAATATTGAAACCATTTCCCACACATCTCTCTAAAAATCACTCCCCGCTTAGCACTCAAGCCTCCCGAGAGATAGTTCTTTTGATGAACGTTGTAATTCAAGCAGGGAATGATATAGCATTGTGGCACCCAGAGGTATACTCTTGATGATAAAGTGGAGGCTTCTGAAAACCTAGGGGGGAAAATGCAACAAAACAACCTTCTTGCCTATTAGTGGCAGTCCTGAGATGTCCATATGAGTGGAGCTCAGAGGGTGTCAATCTGGACGAAAGTGAGTTAGAGCCATACCATATCTTAGAGTCACATTTACAGGGCATGCTTATTTTATGCAGAGTGGTGAGAAAAAAGATGAAGGGACAGGCAAAGAGAGGAGGCTGGCAGAGGATTTAATTCCCCAAGCCAGTTCTTCCTGCCGGTTTTGCTCTGTCTGTTAGGATTAGGTCTAGACTTCATTTTTAACTTGCTAGACTAATAACTTATATTCAGTGAGCACTTTCTTGTTTTGAATTTTTTCATATGTATTATATCATTCTTACAAAACCTCTACTATACAGGTAAAACACAGTAGGGTACTGAGGGTTAGAGGTGTTAGGACATGTTAACAGTGTCGTCACATCTCAAGTCTGCCTCTCCCACTCAATCTCTGTCCTTTTATCCATTGCATCATTTAAGAAAGGAATTCTTGGTGAAGAGTTGGGACCACTCACTATGGCTCCTTGGGACCATAAGCATGTGACTTACAGAGGTAAAAGTTTAATGAGAATAAATTGGTAATTGAAAGACTTGCTATAAAAAGGAGCATATTTAATAGAAGATTGGGAAAATTTTTGAGGCAGAAACATGTCTCTTAGGTGATGACAAAACATGAGTATAGCCTGTGTGGTGATGAGTTGGCTGCCATTTCTGGATAAAGTTCAAGTTAGAAAGGGATGAAAAGGCAAAATGATTTCAGAAAAACAATACAAAACAAAACAAAACCCTACCTTTTTCAGAGTTCAAGGATATTAGAAAATTTTAGTTAAATAGAGTATAAATTTGGATAAAACTAAATACAAATGTATTCTATTACTGTAGATTAATCATCAGGAAAACAATCCTTAAGCCAACAGTTCTGGGAAATAGTAATATCATTGAATGAGGAAAAGATAAAAATAGAAATCAATACATTTGACTAGTCAGAGCTTCTAAATATAGATAAACAGCTAATATTCATGGTGCTTACTTTCTAAATTTAACTTAAATATGTTCATTATTTGTGAAAAAAAGTCGCAGCAACACAAATCATAGGTCATGCAGCTATTTATAATGTTTTAATTGTGCCAGTGTGACCTAGGGCACTGGCTTTGCGACTAAGCTAGCTGTATAACTTGGATATACTTGACCTCCCTGTGCTGTTTCATCACCCGTGAAATGGAGGATAATGATGCCTCTCTAACAGGTTCCCATGATATTAAATGGGTTAGTGCATGTGCAGCACTTAACACTGTGTTAGGCACAGTGTAAGTGTTCAACCAGAACTCCTTTATCTGATAATCCGCACATTCACTTCCTGGCATCACTCTTCTAATATGCTGTTCCCTGATATTGTTCTTCTGTCCATAGGCCAGACTGTGCATGCCCCAAGTCTTCCTGTGCTTTGAAACTGTGCTCCTTCTGTCTTGTGCTTGTTTGTTATTTCATACTTGAAGGCTCTACTCATCCTTTCTTATTTGCTGGGCTTCAACTTTTCCTTCAAGGGCCAGCTTCTAAGCCTTCTCTCCATTTCTTTTAAGCTTCCTCAGATCCCACGTTCAGACTTCATTCATTGCTTTATCCTACTTCTCTAGCATGGCTCCTATCTCTATTTACTGATTCAATATATTCATACATGTCTGCTATGTTTCAGGCCTGGTATGGTAGGTACATCATGGTAAATTTGATGAACAAATGTGATGGAACTTGCAGTACTTGCACAGGAGTATACCCCTTTAGGCTGTAAATATCTTTGTATTTGCAAACACAACTTTTAGACTGCAAATACCTTGTTATTTTAATCCTGCCCTCTCCCAAGCCATTTGGTGCTTACCTAGCTAGCACAATGTTTTGTACATGACGAATGTGCAGTACATATTCATTACATGAATAAATGAAAAAGGCCTGTGGAAATAGTAATGCTTTTTTTTACAGTATATAAGTGAGATTCATTAAAAAAAAATTAGACCATGAAAAATAGTTTCATATGTCCTGTGCACCTACATTATTACAACCTCCCTTTTAAATTTCTACTGCCTTCTACAGTATCTGATATCAGAGGCTTTGGACACAGCCGTCTTATTAAAGATAATATCTTAAGTGAAATGACAAAATTCCTTTCTGAATAAAAACCAAAAGAACAGAAAAGAGATGGTGTAGGCATCAAGTATATTTTAGTAAGTCAGCATCCCCAGAATCTTTCGCTATGTCCAAGAGTAAATAAATAAAAATACAACCAATTAAAAACATGGGCATCAATGGGAGAGAATATTAATACTACCTGGCTTTTTAGGATGATAAGCCCTCAACTCCGTGGCCCCTTAATTACTGTACTTGATAGGCAAAATCATAACCATCATGAAATCCAACCCTTTGCCTACTATACGCTGGCACCCTAGTAGCTGAACGTGGCTGGAGAAAAATTCCAACCAGCAGGCTCATTTTAAATTTATGATTCTTAAATGATACTACACTACATTTCCCTGGTCCACTGAGTTTCACACTCTCTTGGAGAACTGCACACAACTTTTCTCTGGTTTTCTGCATTTCTTGCCAATTCTCACTCTCAGCTGATAACCTTGCTTCAAATTTTATTGAGGACAAGAGGAACCAGAGTGAATTTTACAAATTTCCAGTATTGCATCTGCTCACTGGCTGCATGTGTGCTCAAATTCTCTGCTTCTCCTCCTGTGGCTATTTGAGGAGCAGCCTGTGCTCACAGGTAAGGCCAATGCCTTTACTTCTGCACTGGATCCTGGCCTTGTTTACCGCTCAAGGACATTCTTCCAGAAACTCTCCTTTCAGTCACCTGCATCATTATTTTTCTTCTTTCTACTGGATTATTCCTATCAGCTTACAGACATGCTGTTATTTTTCCATTCTGTTTAAAAGATTCTCTGTTGACACGACTTCCCTTCCAGCTATTGACACATTTTCTATTTACCCAGCAAAACTTTTTGAAAGCTCTGTATTTATCTTCTTTCCTAAAACAAAATCCTATACATGTGAGGATTCCTCTGTTAGCAGAGACAAAGCTACCAACATTTCTTCCCTTCATTCTCTCCTCTTGTTTCGTTTATTCTTTTTTATTTTGATTCCAATATGCTCACAGATCCTGGTGCAGTTAACATGCAAATGTAAAGCTTTGCCAGAAGGTGTCGCTATCTAACACATAATATACTGAAAACTTAGTGTTGGACAATATAACTCCAATTATCACATCTTTGAGTTTGGAATTGTACACGTTGAGCATTGACATTTGTTGATGGGTGTGGTGGTGAGGGTGGTGATTTTGCAGCTAAACAGAGCTTCTGAGGAAGGGCTGAGACTTGGCATGGTGGGATAGACTCCCATTGATTTGGGCGGTTCTCATGAAAGGCCTGGCAGGCGGAAAACATTTAGGTGGGCAGGAAGAAGGATTACATGTACACGGGCAGGGCAGCTTGCAGCAGGCTAAGGAAAGTGGACAACACTAATGGTTTAAATTAAATTTCTTTAGCCACTCTATCTTGGAGCTGACCCAGATCCTGCAATGCCACATAGCTATGGTAAGTTTGGAAATTTCCACTTCTGTAGAAGGGGAAATTAATGAAATGGCTGGATTAAACTACTGAATACAAGCATTACTTTATCCTAAGAAGAAGTTAAATCTGGCCAAGGGTGGAGTTTCAGCTCTGAAATACTGGGCTTTTGACCCTTCATTTATTGTCTTAAAGTTAGGTTGCTTATGCGTTGCCTAAGCAGTCTACTCGCTAACATGAAGGCTAGCCCTTCTATCAAAATACCTTTTCCACTTTAGGTTCAAGGGTGGTGGCCATGTAGGCTTGATGTTGACTGATATCCGGGAAGCCATTACAGTTCACACCATCTCCCAGCTGTATCTCTAAAGACTGTATTTTCATCCTTTCTGCATCCAAGTTAGCTTCCAGTCATAGGCTGCTTACAAAGTTTCCATTTCAGGGCTCAGCCTTGCCCAAGAATTCGTTTCTTACTTGATTACATATTAAAGCGGATCCTTGCTAATCTGTTTGGACTATTCCTCACCAAACTCTTTCTTCTAGAGGAATGTTTTCTAACTCTGCAGGCTTATAATATAGGATTACTATATATGTAGAGCAAAAATAACAGACAATAGCAAAAGGAGCATGGGGCTTTCCCAGAAGCACTGTTATGAAAGCAACAGCCCCTGGTATAAGCACTTAGTGAACCCATTATTTTTTCCCAAGGGAAAAGGCTGTACTATCTTAATGAGTAAATTAACAGTAGAGACAAAAGTTACCGGAATTAACACAGAACAAAAATCTCCTTTTGATAAACAGAACTCTATAGAGAGAAAGTGGATAACATTTCAGTACCAAATCAATAAATGAAAGTTTTGAAAAAAAATCACTTAACCTTGCATAAACTTCCCAACCTTACCCAAAAAGAGTGAGGGGTTGTGGCCTTCATGTAAATGCTCAGCTAGTTTGTGATCTATTGTATCTGTTCCAGCCCCACATAGTAGAAATGCTCAATTACACACCTG